GCAGTAGAAAAACTAGATCAATAAATTTTTTAAGTTCTGCATTGAAATTTGTTGCTGCCACTGCGGATCACAGTGATTTCGAGATATTAGGAGAAAGGCAAACAAGGCTAATAGAAGCTGAAAACCAGCAGATAGAGATAAATGCTGATTTAGTAAATAAGATAAACGAGTTAACTTCTCAAATTAATAAGCTCAAATACAATCATTACGAGAAAGTAGAAAATAAAATGTATCCAGACTTATTTCAGATAATAGCTGTTCGTAATCAAAGAGTAATCTTGCTTCTCACTAATGTTGTCTATTCAGTTACGCTCGCTAAATTAAATATAGTAAATAATGTAATTTTATCAGATAATGAAATTTAGAAAGTATTAAATCAAGAAAATTACGAACTAGGTATAAGTGCCCTTATGGCTGCTGGAAATGTTAAGATCTACTCTAATAATGAGATATTAAAATATTTGGTAAAAATACCAAAAGTGTACTCTGTTTGCCCATTAATAGAAATTTTTCCGGTAATATACAATAACACGATATTAGATTTAAGAAATAAATACTCTGCTAAATACGGGAAATACCGTAGTCCGCTTTATAACTGCAAGGAAACTGTAACTATCCCTTTCTGTCAAATTGATACATTTGATTCCTGCATGTACCAAATGCTAAACAACATTTCGGCAACCTGTAAGACAACTACAGCATACCATGTACCTCCGGTCATCCAAATCGACGAAAACATTCTGTTATAGTATGTTTACATATAACGAGATTATCTCCATTAACGAGATTAACTCGATAATCCGTAAGTAAGAGAGATTTACCATACAAAATTCCTCTCTAGTTAATCCGAGATTAAAAATTAATCTCAKATTACACAACTAGATAATTGGTGTTATCCTAATTTTATCGATAATTTTTGCGAAAAAGAGGAGAAATGTTAAATGACAAAGTAAACCAAAATGGCCGACAGCGTGGGGAAGAGGTTGGTAAACTTATTTTTAATAAAGTTATTATTTAAAATATATGTAAATTTGTTAATTTTTCAGAAAAAAGAGATCAACTTGGAATAAGGARGAAGTTGAACTTTTTTTCTGCTTGTGGGAGGAAAAATTGCAACAGCTTCGTGGTGTAAAACGCAATTCCCACGTTTTCAAGGATAAGGCTGCAGAAATGGCCACAAAGGGGCACGTATATTCCGCGAATGAAATTCGTGTGAAAATACACAACTTAACAAATAAATACAGGTAAGTTTATTTAATATTCATGTGCATTTCATATAAAAGTTTTCAAAAAATTTACAGAGATGAGAGGAAGTCTATTGGGTCCCTCTGGCGGCAGCCCTTCGACATGGGAATTCTACCCTAAAATAAATAGTATCCTCGGGAGCTATAAATGCTTCCATTTGGAAACATTGGTGGAGGTGAGCACAGGTTAGTAACACAAAATAGAAATTTAAAAAGTTTATATTTATTTTTATAAACTAATTTATTACAGTTCACGAAGCTGTAGACTGTGCATCACCCCTTAACAGCTCTTCCATTACGCTGTATTCCCAGGAAGAATTGCCGTTTGTTGAAGAGGAACCTGCAAGAAAAAGAAAAAAACATATTTCAAACAAAAATATTCAAAATGAATTTTTGGAGGAATTCCGTTCTTCAAATAAAAGAATTACGGCAGAAATTGAAGCAATTAAAKAGGACGGCAGGAAGGCCCTTGAAATTGAAAGAAAAAGAAATGACATCCTCGAAAAATTCTTGGAAGCATTTAAGGAAAGCATGTAACAACATATCCTTGAAAACGTGAGAATTACGCTTTACACCACGAATCATATGTATATCTAGTTTAGGAGAAGATTGTTTTTATTATTATATATA